TTCAGCATAAATTGTAACTCTCTGGGTGTTCATCGTGACACATATGCATATTTCATCTATGCCACAGTATTTATGAGCCAGTTGCCGGCAAAAAAAGGGGGCACCTATGCATTCAAGTGGTTTGGTTTAATAGCTGGCAAGCTGCAGACCACAGTACAATAGTAACACAGCACTCTAGAAACGGAGGCATTGCCGAGTGATGGCAGTGCATAATTTTAATATTCTGAGAAAAGATTCTTCTAGTGAAGGGCTCTAGTGGGTATAGTGATGAGAACGTTACATCTCTCAGTTTGCTTTTTAGTGAGCATCTGTCTATGGGATGATGATGATATGGCAGTTCCAGGGGGTCAGCTGTGTTGGTCTGAAGCAGTAAAACAAATTTAGAGTTCAGTCTCTATAAGTCTGAACCCTTACCAGCCATTCCAATATGTTTGAAAAAGTGCGCATGCACACAAAAGCTCATACCTTGAATAAATCTTTGTTGGTTTTAAAGGTGCCATTGGGCTCTAAATTTGTTCTAATGATGTGGTAGTGTTTGCTTTGGCACATCAAAGGGAAGTTCATTTGAATTGCTTAGCAATAGCCTGTTTTGTTTTTTGTTTTGTTTTTAAACTTTTATGGTTTGGTACACTTGGTTGTCAAACTATATGTGAGTATGTGGTCCCTGCCTTCAGCAAACAAGATCATAAACTAAAGTATGCATGGTGGAAACTGCTGTGCTGCCAGTAAGTAATCCAAGTCCATTTCGGCACTAGTCCCATAACAGCACAACTTAAAATCAAACCAAATTTAAAAAGCGAGTATAGAGCCAAAACTGTTTAACATAGTCAGATTTCTTTAGCACCACAAAGCTGGAGTTAGCACAAAAGGTTACCCAGGTTGCGTTTCACACAGATATCTTCCCACACACAAGTAAAGTTCTGGCTGCTTCAAAATGACTGGCTTGTGCGATGGACAGGTCAAAGTCCTGGCCATTTCCTGTAAGCTGCCAATCCCCTTTAAACATGGTCGGCATGTTCACCGAGCGGGTAACACCCAATCAGGGCCCATGGAACTTTGACAGAACAGATGGGAGTTGAGGCAAAATGAAGTTAAACTGCTGTTTAGATGCCCGTGAGGCAAGTTAGGGAAACCTTGTTCTCAGGAGACACTGTTTGTCCCACAGTCGACCTTCAGGGGAAGCAGGCTGGTAAAGTGTGGTGTCCAAGGGAGACTCACATTTAATGTTTATCTATCACTTATTGGACTTTCAGAGTTGAAGGAAGTTAACTGGACAGGTTGTTGTCCTATTCTAAACTACTATGGTAGCTTTCAGCTGGGATTCAATAACCTTGGGTCCAGCCATTCATAATTTTTTTCTCAGTGCAGATTGACTGTTACTTGATCACTATCCTCAGAATAGCTTTTTTATTATTAACTATTACTTATATCTTAAATCCAGGAGAAGCTGAGAGCTACAGTTGTAAATATTTTCAAGCGTCATTGCTGTTCCTAAGGCGTTAACCCTTTCCAGGGGAATAAATAATTGTTCAGTTTGGTGTAGTGGTTAGGTGCACGAACTCTAATCTGGGAGAATCGGGTTTGATTCCCCACTCTTCCACTTGCACCTGGCTGGATGACCTTGGGCAAGCCATAGTTCTGGCACAGCTGTTCTTGAAAAAAGAGCAGTTTCTGTCAGAGCTCTCTCAGCCCCACCTACCTCACAGGGTGTCTGTTGTGGGGAGGGGAAGGGAAAGGAGTTTGTAAGCCGCTCTGAGACACCTTTGGGTAGTGAAGGGCGGGATATAAATCCAATCTCTTCTCTTCTTCTTCTTTTCTTTTTTTACCTCATGACTCCTGTGTGGTTATAGAGCTGGCAAGGTATTGTCCTATATAATAACCAATACAGGGGAGGAGAAAAAAGGCTTTTAGCAACAGGACACCAAAATTAAGTCTACCACTTGGGGACAGTTTTAAGCACAGACAGGCTGGAAATGTTGTAAGCTGCACTGAGTTCCACTAGGGAAAAAGGCAGCTAATAAATGCTTTAAATAAACAATAAAATAATAAATCGTGGCTGCTGTTAAAATCCATATGACGCTGCTCATTATTTATACATATATCATCTCCATGCCTGTCAAAACTTGAGACAGAGGGAAGAGAAAAGAGGGTAATGGAGCAAAACAGGGAAAGA